TTTTTTTTTTTTTTTTTTTAATAATCCAGAATAAGTAGTTGCAGTTCGTGTGTTCATGATGTTAGCATTACTGTATGTACTTTACCAGCCACTTGGAGACATTTAGAAAGAAGCTGCTTTAAAGGGCATGTCAGGTTGAATATGCGATATTTATGTCATATATCACAAAGAGCCATATGACGTCCGTTTAGCAACATTAAGGTTATACTGCTGGATTAAATAAGAAAAGCAGGAATTTATCACACGTGTATGAATTGCAAATCTGTCTAGATCAGGGGTGTCAAACTCATTTCACATGGTGGGCCACATACGGCCTCGGTAGATGTCAAGTGGGCCGGACCATTAAAATGATACCATACTTTGCTATAAATAACCAAAACAATGTCTTTCCTTTGTTTTGGTATAAAGAAGCACAAGAACATTAGGAAAATGTTGAAATTTAATGAACATATCTTTTACAAAATATTTCATGAAGCACCTTACATTTCCTTCGACAAATGTGCAATTTACTTTTATCATTCACATATATGCATTGCAAATGATCCCACTGATTGTACAAACATTAACAAGTAATTGGTATTGAAAAATATAGTAATGCACTTTAAGATTAAACGAGATTCATAAAGAAAGGAAGTTTTAAACCATTTACACGTGCATATAAAATCTAAATGTAATCTTACAAACTAAGGAGAGTGCTATTAAATGTGTAAATGTGAGAGTGCTATTGATAGCGTCTGCTGTCATGGGTCTGTCACAGTGACGGACTGAGGCTGCTGTTGTCTTCTTCTCTGATCAAAACAGTGTCCCCTTGCGGATACTCAATGAATTGCACCTTATTAAAAATATTAATTCTGTCTTTAATGCATTTTTTTCACTTTTAAATTATCCTGCGGGCCTAATTGAACCTCCTTGCGGGCCGGTTCCGGCCCGCGGGCCGTATGTTTGACACCATGCTTTACATAATCATCTCGCGGGCCGGATTAAACTCCTTTGCGGGCCGGATCCGGCCCGCGGGCCGTATGTTTGACACCCCTGCTTTAGAGTCTTTTGTATGTTAAACTTTTTTATGGTTACTAATTTGCATTACTTTGTATCGTGATTTTTGTGAAAAGCGAGTTTGTGTGACTTACGAATGCACAGCTCGAGGAGTCGGTGACACAATAGGAAGTTTGGGGCAAGCGTGTCCACGGTGTTGTGAGTTAGTTTGGAAGAGTGCGTTGATGAGCAAGTAAGTTGTAAGATTCTTATTTGTGTGTCTGTAAGCACATTGTTAGAACTGCCCATAGTCTGTTCCAACAAGATGTTTTGTTAGAGTGTTTTAGGCAACGTTTTTCATGTACCCACGTTACCGTGTAAAGGTCATGAAGTTGACATGTCACTAAGTCAGGTACCGGAGGTGGCTCCAATTCAGTTTCACAATAAGAGCACAAACCAGAAGTGCCCCTTGAATGTTGCTGTCTTAACCAACTTTGGTTTTTCATTAAATTTGCTTAACTGTCTTAGCCTATGTTGTGCACACTCGTTTATTGGTCTATTTTGTATCTTTCTTGAGGACAACCACATACAGACATCCTTACCAAAACATTCATAGCCAACAATACTGTGCCAATGTTATGTGAAGACAGGAGTGAATTGAATGAGAAAAACCCGGAGGAGAGCAAGGAAAAAGAAACACTGGGATACTGGGAAAAATTCTCTGAGTCGGCCTCAAGTGGTGTGAAGACAGCTCACTTACCCGAATTAGTGATTGTTTCTATTTATGTGTTAAGAAATGTTAGTGTTGAGTTGTTTATCACTCAGACACTAAAAATATATTTTTTAAATGGGGTTCTGTTTGATTGATGGGAATCTAATGTGCAACAGCCTATCATGCTGCAAAGTAGGGTCAAAGTGTGTGTGTGTGTGTGTGTGTGTGTGTGTGTGTGTGTGTGTGTGTGTGTGTGTGTGTGTGCGTGCGTGCGCGCGTGCGTGCGTGCGCGCGTGCGTGCGTGTGTGTGCCCTTGCTGATGTCCCTCTGTTGACCTTAAGCCGCACCTGCTATCTGGTCTAGCTGGTCATATTTGCTGTATGGCTGAACAAGTTATTGTTATAGTAGCGATATCTAAATATGAACATTCAATGCATTCGTATTTCAAAATCAGCAAAATAGGTTTTGCCTGCTTGAAACTGCATGTATTGTACATTCCAATACAACACTAAGGCCAACCATTCAAAAACCTCATTTCAAGCTCACGCCGTCTTTAATATCTGTAGGTGAAAACTATGGATGAAATTATGTGCATGCGATTCCCAGAATAATTTGAAAACAGCAATCATGATTGCACAAATTCTTGCCTTGATGTTTTTGCCTGTCCTTGCCTGTCTTGTTTTGCTTCACATATGGTAGTGTAAATCATGCCCTTTCTGGATGAGACATATTTTTAGCTTTAAATAATAACGCAAAAGTGCACATTATGGTTTTTGTTTTTAATTATTGTAATTATGTTTCATTTTATTTATTCATTCTTGCTATGTTTGTTTTTGTGCTTCCAAGAGGGCAAGCACAAGTCACCACCCTTGTATGATGCAAGACAAAAAAAATGCATGTTGTAGCCATATTGGCTTTCACCGATCTTGGCATAAACCTTATACACTAATAACCAGTAAAAATAAAAAAAAATCTAACATTTTACAACTTTCATTTTGTCATATGCTGCAGTGTTCATTACAAACAACACAAAACATAAGAAATGTGTACCTGATGCTGTGGTGTCTGTGTGCGCGCGCGCGCGCGTGTGTGTGTTCTTGGCATATGAATACAGTGCGAAAGAGGAATGAACTCTTCCAAGCCGTTATTTTATAGCCATGACATCATCTGATACAGTCACTGACTGTGACTAGCATACAACATGAAAGGAAACGATAACAGTTGCAGAATGATGAAATGTTCCATCGTGTTGGCGGGCTCTGCTCAATTCAATGGAAGCCAACGTTGCGCTTCCTGCTGACAAACAAAATTCTGACGATGACATGAAAAGAACGTCCCCCACTAATTGCTGATAATGGCCCATGGGAGAGAGCCTCAAACAGTGCAATCTGTGCGACAGTCTTTTGAACTGTTGTGCAAAATCTCTCCTACGACTGCAGTTCTCCAACAGAGACAGGTCAACAGAAAAGTTATGTATTTCATGAGCATCTCAAGAAGATATTACCTGTTTGCGACTCTGCTTGCACTCGTTCACTTGATTTATCAGTCTGTATAGACACGTGGAAAAAGAAAGGGTGTACGTCAGGTACTTTTCATTCATCAACGACTTGGCAAAACAGCAATCTCATCTCACCTTATTATTATCATTTAAAGGCCTGTTGATAGACACGTAGTGTCTTATTTTTCTGCAAAGTGCAAAGGCTTATCGTCAGGACATAAAATCAACAAACACAATTGATATACAGTTTTGCCCAGTTTATCACCATGAATCAATTGTGCCCCGGCTGCATCGCAGATTTTTTGAAATCATTTATTAAGTGCAATTCTACATTTTCCTGCTGTCACTCACCCTCCCTGTCCGATTACAGGTGTGATGTTCACATTTTGCTGGATGCTGTCTCCATTCTTCTTTTTGGCATAATAAACCCCTTGCCACTCCTAAGAAACATCCATACACAAGCATACACACAATGAGAAATGCTGAAGTAGCTGCACACACAGGCAAAAACGACAAGCCTTTTCGACTGCATTCCAAGTTAGATCCCTTGAATAATATCTTTCCTCAAAGTGGGTAACAGCTACAGGACGGTGATAACCGTGATACAGGTGCAGTTAAACGGTAGGTCAAAATATTTCAGAGAGCACCAAGTTGCTTTTAACGTTCGCAGGAGCACTCCTGGGAGTCCAGACGGCATGTTTCATGTCCACCCTATCCTACCCTTCCCTTTCCTCCCCACCTACAGGCTGCCGTGGCTTAAAAAGAGCCTTCCTGCTGTTTGCAGCTCTGAGACTGACCTTTGCTCTCTGTGTAGTAAGATTACAGCACAGCACAGCTTTCAGCTGCTGCTCTTGGCTACATGAAAGACAGCAACTGCTTGGCCAAAAGTGTAGATTGTGCACACTGATGCGCGTGTACGGTGAAATTTCTCTCACTATAACAACAATCACACTGGATTCAAGTGTTCGTTCCAAAATTGGTGGACATTTTCTGACCCCCCGCTTCATGAAATTTCAAATGATCCACGCACAAATTGCAGAAACATGGATTTCTTGTGTAAATTCGAGTGGTCCTGAGACAAAATGTAACTGTAGCTATAGTAAAAGTGATTCCTAAATATTATTTAAAATACCAAATACCTCTTGAGCACCCCCTAAAATTTTATTTTTACTCTTGTCCATTTCTCTTGATCACGGCCGTCCAAATCAAGTACCAGGTCAAATTCATTTTAATCAGCTTTTTTTGTATGATTGTGTTGATATGTCTTGCATGAAAACGTTAAAGCATTTAGTTTGATCACAGACACATTGTAAATACTAGCTAGTAATGAAGCTATGAAGTTGTGTCTCAAGCAGAAATAGCATTATCGAGGGAATTATGCTGACCATGGGAAGACCTACTGGTAGATAGGTTCTCTCCCCAATTTTTCATGTTTTTATTTTATTTTATTTTATTTTATTTGCTGGAATGGACTGTATCAACCCTCCATATTATCAGAGAACTTAATTTAGCATGCAGCAAGTTTCTCCTTGTTCAGTTAGCATAGCGGCTAACCCAGGCAGCATTTTGAGTGCCCTTGAGCAAAACATCCGAAAATAGCATCAGTGTAGTGTACAATCAAATTAGCCTTCAAATAAGATTCGACTATTTGATTATAGAGGATTTATTGAGAATTATTTTTGAAATATGTTTTCAAGGTGAATTCCTGTGACAACAAAACTTCTCATAAAACATGTATATATTTTATGATGTTTTTTTTCAATGAAAATGTTTGGAAAAAAATGCATAATAAATAGTCAATTTTTCCAACATTTTTCAAAAATGTTGTTGACTGAAATGTCCTCCAATTCTGTTATGACCCATACGAAAAGCGTCTCCACCACTATATTTAAATACACTATGCTAAGTATGGATGATTAGATGCTGATTACCTTTCCTTTCCGGATGCAGGAGTTTATTGTTTCAAGGAGATCAGGCTTATTCTTCTCACTTTTAGGCACTTCGATTATTTCCTTCCCTATGAGCTCACCTTGTTGGTAGCCCATAATGGACTCATAGGCAGGATTCACATACTGTGAAGGAAAAGTTCAGAGTGAGGCTTGATCGTGGAGGAATTCGGTAAACAGTATTTTAAAAATGACGATAGACACATATATTTTTTAATTCGATAGTCCAGGAATATTAAGAGTCCGGTGAGTGTGTGAATTGCATAACTGAATGTGACAATTATTGAGAGTGTGCTAAGGGTTGAAACAACAAATCAATACTCCATAATAAGACATTTGCTAGCTGACTGTCTGCCCTGCTAACATGCTGATTTTGTAGAAGTGTTGTGACTTGAGTAGCTTTAATTGAAAGAAATAACAGCATATAGAGTAGATATAAAAAGTCCACACCTCTTTAATTATTTGTGTTAAAAAAATGAGAGCTAGATAATTTTTTTCACAATTAATTTGACCTTTAATCTGTACAACTCATTTGAATTAAAAAAAAAAAAACTTTTCAAGAAAAAGAGTAAAAACAATTCAGGTAATTTGTTTGCACAAGTGTGCACACCTTCTTATAACTGGGCTGTGGCTTTGCTGAGAATTAACCATTTCCATTCAAACTCATGATAAATGGGAGTCAACTCACACCGGGCAAAATATAAAAGGCCTTTGATTAACCCAAATAAATTTAGCTGTGGGATGTTTTTTTTTTCTTTCAAGCAGATTACAAATAATACAAACTATTCAAAAGGGACTACAGCGAATGCTCATGAGACAGTGACGGCGAGAGAATAACCGCACCACACAAAAGTTCATCGAAATGCACCTGAATGACTTGATCTTCAGAAGTGATCTCAATGGCCTCTTGGCTTTGTTCTAGAGCTGTGAAAATAGCATTTCCAGCCCTTGTACAGGTGACAAGAGAAAACAATTGTTCATTGTTACCACGTGAACAAAATGACCTGCTGACATCCGAGTGGGGAAATTGAATGCACCAAAAACATACCTCTTTCATTATTTATCCAATTAGAGGTTACGCTCGACACTTTTGTCGCCAATCAATCTTATTTGTTTATCTTACCAAGATATTTTTCAACAATTTTGTCTGTCCTGTTGTGATTTTTTTTCTTTTCAGTACATTGTTAAAGTGCAGCAAGTTGTACATAAAGTTTTGAAACACTGACAGATGTCCATGCAAAAATAGAGAAGGTCAATTTAAGGTTACTTCTAATGTTTATAGTAACTGTAGATAGTGTACATGCTGAAATTTTGCCCAAAAATCAGAATATCCCTGAGTTTTCAGTGCAGTAGAACAAGATAGTCATATCTTCCTCCCCCAGGAACGAGTAGTTTTGTGTAAACTAAATAAAAGACAAACATAAAGTTGCTCAACTCACCTTAGTTTGAACTGTGCGAGCACCTCTCCATGCTCCAGTTGCAGCAGCTCATTATAGCAGGCCATCATATTGGCATTCTCTACATATCTCTGAGGGTCAGAGATCAACAGCAGCACAAATAAATGACCAGTCAAAGGCAACTAAAGTTCCCTTTTTAAACAGGACTCGTGATATTGCCAGTATACATCTAATGGGACAGTTAACACCACAAAGTCATGGTATCGGAATCTCTCTGCATGCATCTCCTGAGCAAACAAAGATTTGCCATCTACATCACTGTCCTATATAGAGTGTTGACAGAAGGACTATGATAAGATTTCACAAGAGTAATACAAATATAGTGTAGGGAGAGGGCAAACACAAACACACAATGCCTCTCACCCTATTAAAGCCAGCGTTGATCAGAGGCATCACAGAGGCTTCCTCCCTGTCTGGCCTTAAAAAAAAAAAAAAAAAAAAAAGAACACGGCAGCACATGAGCATCAGCCTGACCAATGTGTTTCCTGACAGTTATTGAGCCAAGGAATCTATTTCACGGCACACCACCCGAAAAAATAAAAAAGAGAGAAATAGTACTCTATTGAACAAAAGTGAGTGCATTCCTCTTCACGTTTTTGTCAATATTCTATTTTGTCTATTCAAGGGACAGTACTGACAAAATGATACTTTGCTAAACTGTAAAGTGGTAGTAAGTGTACAGCTTGTATAAGAGTGTACATTTTCTCTCATCTTGAAATAACTCATACAGCCATTAATGTCTTAACTGCTGGCAACAAAAATTGGTCAGTGAAAATATCATGACATGAATCCATCCACCTCCCAGGTCCATGATTACAGGGCCCCCCCCCCCCGCCCCCCAAAAAAAACACTCCCTTTGGCAGTCCATTACTCTTTTTTTTTTTAATGCCATTGAATCATTGTAAAGTGAAAATGTAAATTTGACAGAGTCCAAGTGGGGTTGTCAATTTGGTTGTCGGGAAAAAAATAAAAAAGTTTTCGGACACGAGGCCATGATAAGTTTACTCCATTTCGTGTTTAAGACTCCCGGCACAATCAAAGCACAGCAAGTAAAGAAGGAGATATTACATTGGGGTCGGCAACTAAAGATCCATTTGAATGTGTTTCATAAAGGAAACCACGGGAGCGGGACCCGTTTGGACATCTAAAATGAAGATTTTCTTTTCGTTGTGTTAAATTTCATTTCAGACACCGTCTTGAGCCCGGTGTCCCATTCCGAGTGATGTCAGCACCTTCGCCAAAATGGATGTGGCCATCGTATTAGCCATAAAATAGGTACATTGAGCAATTTAGTTACAATTACAATAACATCAAAAGCAATGGATCAGTAGCAATCACGAGTTCCGGCTTGATGCTACGTCTCTGATGAGCAAGTGAATGAGGCATCTTCACAAATCACTTCACTTTGCTACATCCAACCCTGCTGCTGCGTCGACATACTCAAGGCGGAGTGTACTGTAAATGCTGTCTATGGGAATATTTGACAATTGACTTGTGTCAGCAGTGCTGCAAGAATAATACTACAGTAGCATCAAAAACTATGGAGCAAAGTAAGTACTGTCTGTAGCAGGGGTGCCCAAGTCCAGCTCGAAAGAGCCCCTATGCAGCCTGTTTTAGTCTGATAACAAACTTGATCAATTCACTCAGGTGTGTTGGAAGAGGGAGACATCTAAAACAGGCTAGATAGGGCCTCTCGAGGTTCAGCCTTGGCACCACTGGTCTGTAGGGTATTAATAATATTAGCCCCCCTTAATGTATTTCATGTTCCCACTTAAGGATGAGGGGACTGGGGACAGGTCTGCAGAAATGTTCTCTCTAATTTTCCATGTTTCTGAGCATTCACGCAAATTCTCATAACATCTCTGGGACTACATGAGCTACATCCACTTTGTATATGGACTAACAATGCCGCTTACTCACCATAGCAAGAAATGAAGCTATTGGCAGCCATTTTATGTTGCCACTCCCTAAGCGCGTCAAATTTCAATGCATTGATTTTTCTGGTGCATCGTCACATTATTTTCTGTCTCTACGGCATAATTGCTAAATTGTGTGGTGTAAGGTGGTCCCAATAAGTCTGGAAGAAGCACTACATGCACATTTAATTGGTAAGAATGTGAGTATAAATTTGTCTTATAAGGTACATCTACGAGTGTTACTCAAAGACTGGTCAGCATCATGTTGTTAAAACCATGAACAATGAAATGAAAGCAAAGCCCATCGGGGCAAAATTTGCTGCGAAATGTAAACCTAACCTCTGTAGGTCATGATTCACATTGCTGAGATAATACATTCTGCATGGTCGATGCAAACAGTGAAGTTCGTTTGTTGAGAGGCTCTTAATATTCCAAACAGGGATCCCGACATCAAACACGCATTGGTAATAGTGTTTTCAACGAAAAAAAAAACAACAAAAAACAAATTGTCAGTACCAATGGCAACATAAGATTGTTTGTCCATACATACACAAGTCTATGGCAACATCAGACATGCACACGGCGGCCAAACCAGTATCACGCCTTCCCAAAACCTGAGATCATTACAAAAACATTATTTGTCAAAAATGATATTCAATTATATGTCAAAATAGAACATATAATTGAAAAGAGATTTATGACCTACATAAAATAGTTACTTTTCTGTATTTTAGCACACAGGTAATTTTAAGCATCATTAAGTGTCAATACAATTTGCAGAAATACGGTCCCACAAATTCCACTCATAAATAATGGAAAACATGCCATTTATCCACTGAACCCTTTTCAACACTGCTTATCCTGAACCGGGGCGCTGCTGGAGCCTATCCTTGCTGACTTCGGGCGGAAGGCAGACTAAGCCCTGAACTGGTCGCCAGTCAGTCGCAGGGCCCATATAGAGACGAACAACCATTCACACGCACATACACACCATCACTGAATGGGAACCGATCTCACGCTGCCTGAACACAAGTCAGGCGAGTGTACCACTACACCGTCATTGACTTAAACATGCCGTTTAATAAAACACAAACATTTCTTAGTTATCCGACTTCAAAAACGCAACCAAAAAATAAGCCTCATTTAAGGGGCTCAGAAATTACGTTTGGACTTCCTGAATGGAGCGGTTTGTGTCTCGCCTCCAGCATCTTGTCAAGTGGTGAATGTGAGTGTTTGTGTGTCAATGTATGCTATTAAAACAACTGAGTGTGCACCTTCACTGTAATAAGGCAAGTAGGAATGGTGTGGTGTCCTGTTTTTAGATTCAATTGGGGTGGAAATGAAGGAATGAGTGTAGAAATGTAATGTGTGTGCATGGTACACCTTAGCCTTGTGTTGGCCAGTCATTAATGACGGAGCCCCTCACAAAGTGATTACACATGGCTGTTTGCCATGCATTTCAGTCTTTTTTTTTGTGTCACATTTTTCTTTACAACTCTGTCAACAACATGTGCCAAATAACCTTTTCAATTCCTTTATATGAGGAGAATATGCGGTTGGATTTATTTCAATGCACTGCTTCCATTTGCTGTGCGCTGAGAGGGTGAGAGCAGTGCGCAACTGTTCACGGGGGAAGCTTCGAGAGAATATTGGTCTGCAGGGCTGAACTGTAGCACTTGGTGAAAATGTGGCTATTGAGCAGGGGTCGGTGAGTTGTACTTACCTCTTCACAACAGCTACTATCACAGTGTTTTCTGAAGAGCTGACCGCTCTCATTGACCTGAATGTAAACACAGAGAGCCCTTTAGCAAGCCAGCCAACTGTCGGAAAAGCCTGTAGCATCAAATCAATGTATTTTTCATTTTTTTTCACGCTCCGATTCTCCCAAGCAGCTCCAATGATGGAGCGCTGCAGGCCGGCCAAGGCCTCTGAAAGAATGCAGTGTACAGAGCCACTCATCCGCCTGTGGTTTCCCCCAGCCAGTGGTCATAAAGGCCCTTTAGTTCCCCCATGTGAGCCTGAGCGTGTACACTGAACATATGGAGTGGCCAAAATGAATGGAGTTAACATACACGGGCAGGGCAAATGAATGTTTGTAAATGTGCTTTTGGTTTGGGCAGATGCTAAAGATAGAAAAGTGGAATGGGCAGACACGGCTCATTTCTCATTCAGTTTACAGCACCAGTTCACGTGATTTAAAAAAAAAAAAAAGAGCCCAAACGGGGAACCCGACATTGTACAGTGAGTCCCCCAAACACTAGCAAATGTACTCAAATCCCAGTGTTGGGCGCTAACAAAGTTCAAACACTGTGTAACTCTACTGAAATAGATTTTTCAGGTATGTGTACTTTACTTGTTGAATCGGGACTTCTACTTTGACCAATGTTTTACAGAAGTATCTGGACTTCGACTTAAATGCAGCCTGTGAGAACGTCTGCCACCACTGTCAAATGCGTGCAAATCTATTTTTTTGGATGATCAAGATTTAGAGAACAGCAAACAACAAAACTTCTAGACTGGCAAAAACAAACATCCAAACAAAGAAACAAAAAAAAAAACCTGATATCAAGTAAACTGAAGAACTATGTTGCATTATACACAGGTCAGTACTAATACTCATACTTTGGTTCAGCCACTACAGTATATATTTAAATCTTATTTAGCTACATGAGCGTGTCAATATATTAGAGATGCCTTTTAGTATGATGCAATGCAACAAGTGCAACAATGATAAATATGGTGTACATCTCTTTGGCAACATTATTATTGCAAGCACTTATATTTTTGAATGCAATGCTATTTTTTGGAAACACGATTTGGGACGGATTACTATAATTTCAGTCCATTTCAATGGAGGAATTGAAAGAATTAAAGTTGTGAGTCACAGTAAGTAATTGGTCAACTGACCGGCTCTGACATCTTAAATGTAAAGCGTAGCAGAGAAGTAAAACAGCATGGAGGATAAGGTGAGTGTCCTACCGGCATAGTGCTTCAGCGTCAAAGTGTCTGGAATGTCTGTGGTCAATGATGACGAGGTCGTGAAGCTTCTCGGTGAAGCATTCGAGGGCCGACTCGGGCGTCCGTGCCATGCTGCACCTGTAGTTGGCCTTCTCACACGCCCAGCAGAAGCCATTACTCTGACCGTCCTCTTTGGCAAAAACTAAAAGTACCTGCAACACAAGAGATGACTCAGCACATTGAGCCTTGTGACTCATTCATTGACTTATTCCTCTGACCTTATGCAATGTCACTACGCTATACTTTTGGCCAATATTATACGATGCATCCATTCATTTTCTATAGAGCGTTCCCCATCTCACGAAGGTCACGGGTGTGCTTGTGCCGATCCCAGCTGACTTGGAGTGAGAGGCAGGCTATATTCTGGAATGGTCGCCAATCACAAGGCACATAGTCTAGTGACAACAACAACCATTCATACTCCCATTCAATTCTTGGGGAGGAAGGGGAGAATTAAATAAGCTACTGAACATGATTATGGGGAGGTGCTGTGTTGATGCCGGTGGGCAACAGTGAATGATAACAATATAAGGAATAAAACAAACTTGAAGAATGCAATGTTTGGTGACTAAGAAAATTTTTTTGTTTTAAATGTCATGAAAAGTAGTGATTTGACGATGCAAGGATTCTGCTTGACAGCCACAATATACGCCTGCGACTAATGTTTTACTGTACTGTTTTGTTGAACAGTTTAGTTTAAATATACCGTGTTTAATTACTTTTTTGTGTGTTGCTGTTGTCAAAAATTTTCTACCAAGTGTTACCAAAAAAAAACAAAAAAACCCAAAACACTACTTTGCCTCCGCCGTTATGAATAACAGGCGCTGATGGTGTAAGCGGTACACAGCGGGCAGCGTGGGATCAGTTCCCACTCAGTGACGGTGTGAATGTGGGTGTGAATGGTCATTTGTCTCTTTTTCTCACTTCTCTCTTTTTATTTTTATTTTTTACTTTTTTTACTTTTACTTTTTTACTTTTATTTTAAATTTTATCTGTAGTTTTATTATTTGCTCTTGGTTGTACAGTGTCCTTGAGTGCTATGAAAGGCGCTTGCAAATGTAATCTATTATTATTATTATTATTATTCTCTTTGTCTCTAGATGTGGCCTGCAACTGACTGGCGACCAGTTGAGGGTATAGCCTGCCTTCTGCCCTAAGTCAGCTGAGATAGGCTCCAGCAACTCCCAGCGACCCTATTCAGGATAAGCGATGTTGAAAATGGATGGATGGCATGATGAATAACATCAGCAGTAATGTGCTATGCATTGAGGAATAGACGATCTCTATCCAAGAGTTCGTGGGCACCATTCTTTGAAAATCACTGACCTCCACTAATCAACCCATCTATGGTGTTTCACATTATGTTAGCATTAAAATAGCAGATTTGTGTTAATATAAGATTTTGGTGTTTCAATATGATATGTGTAAGTGTGTGGAAGGGGCAAAAGTAATGCTTAAAAAAAAAAAAATTGTCTATATCAGCGGTTCTTAACCTGGGTTCGATCGAACCCTAGGGGTTCAGTGAATGGGTCTCAGGGATTCGACGGAGCCACTGCCATGGAGGTTAAGACACACCCGACTCAAGATGTCAATTAGTTATGACACGCCCGCCTGGCCATAACTGGCTGCAAATGATCACATTACATTGCTTGTCCAATCAGTGCTGCGGGAAATTTAGTTTGCTCAGTAGTCAGTGTGTGACTGTCGTGATCGTACGTTATGCACGGTTCATCTTGTTAAAAAAATTGTATGCATATTTATGTCTACAAATTTTATTTACTTTTTTCAGTTTTTAATGAATGCGTTTTTTACGTGTTGAATTCATAAAAAAAAAAAAAAAAAAAATCATATTTTTATTTTTCACCAATGAAGGGTTCGATGAATGTGCATATGAACTGGTTGGGTTCAGTACATCTAACAAGGTTAAGAACCATTGGTCTATATTTAATTTCTTTCATTTATTCCAGGTGTCTCTTTGCAGGTGCATCACAGGTTTGACCTGCTGCCACGATCGATGACACAATTAGTTAAGGTGCTCACACCTGCCCATGGCCCCGTCGACCCCGTGACCCGAGTCGAAAGAGAGGCCTATATGGCACCAAACCCGTCACTGAGAGCTCGCTTAGACTCTGGCAGCAGACTTCCATAGACCCTCTTAGTTGCGTAAATACTGGGCTAGCGATCTGGGCCCGCCTCCAAGAGCAGCGCAGCACTAAGAGTGGATTCATGACTCACCCCTTCAAACAGACGTCACCCCAACTCTTGGCAGGGATCAGACTCAATGCAGAGAGGGAAAAGTTTTGTTCCGCAATTTTACATCACGTTAAATCAAGTTAGGGTACAAAGAACCGACTTTATTGAAGAAAAATAGAGCCACTTTTGTTTGCGCAAGCTTGAATGTTTTGACATGTTTGATTCATTTGGACAATTGGTTCAGGTCTGAAATAAAACACGGCTTAAAGTCTAAAGGCAGGCCGCTCTAAACCTGAGAGGAGTGTTACTAATGCAAACCATATTTTGCAATTGAACATTTTCATTACATGCACCACAAAGTGTCTTGCTTGTAAATGCATCACAACTGACAAGCAGTATGCACGCCGATTTAGAACAGAATTCCACATTGCGATGTTTGTAGAAACAGTCAACATTCCAACTGCAGCAGGGCAACATATGCTGAGATAAGGTCTTCTTTTTTTTTCCCTAATGTGCGCTGGGATTGGACACATCACAAAGCAGTCGAATAAAAACTCACACACAGAGCATGTTTAACATCAGAAAGCAGGCAGGATTAAAACCCAAGGGGTAAAATGTTCAAAAAAAAAAAAAGTCAGTAAAAGAAAGGAGTGGGGACAAGATGAAAATGTTGCGGGGGAAAAAAAAGGGTGCAGGCCAAATTGTGTGAGCTACAAGAGGAGTAGGAGCAGAGATCAGCTGGGAGTGACAAAAACAGGAAGGCGTTATCTCTCCCTCGCTTTCCTACTGGAGCGCATCAGACAGTCAAAGCTACTCTGTGCACTCCCATTTGAAATTACAGGATGTGTAATTCGTTACTTTCCATCTCGTCACACTGGCTTCATAGCACAGAAATATCATAGATTCTGGTTCAGTTCTCTTTCATTATCGGTCCATTGATTTTGGACTCAAATATCTATAATTCTGCGGCAACATGGCACTAAATCGTACAGCAGAAACTTCTGTCCTGAGATGTTGGTCCACCTTGATTTGTAAGTGCCCCAATTTACACCCTTCACTAGATTTTCTTTTTTTGCTTTATGCTGTGAGTTATAGAATTTGAGTTGAGCATGACCAAGCTTCAGAAAGGCTGCTGCTCGATATACGTGGAAAAAAAGGAGAGGTTCAAAGCACAACTTTTGTCTCAAATCTCCGCAACTCAACCTAAACTGGGTTTAGATGAAGGCGTCCTTACATTCCTATTAGAATGAAAGCATTGACAATGTTCCTAATACAAACACCTCGATTGGAATAAAGTGGACAAATGAGAAAGGAAATTAATTTGGATTCACCGAGGTGTTTTTTTCCTTTTGCCATTCCAAGTACAGTATGTCATCAAAATAGCCTGGCCGCATCCAATATGCGCAAGCACCGTCTTAATGTAAATGTGACGTTATCGTTTACGCACTTGAAATTTGGCGGCTCCCAACCAGAGCTGATCTTCAACAAGCGAGCTTGTTTTTAACTCCCGGTACTTAAACTACTGTTGCTATGTGCGTGTAAAAACACTTGCTGTGCTGAATAGACAGCTAACCCCAAGCTTGATTCATCAAGTGATCTTTATAATTGAACATGTTTTGATCTGCGTGTCACACGGCAGTTCTGATTAACGGAGTGGTGCATGCACACACCAGATCGGAATAGATCTAGTCAAATGTAAACAGGTGACCAGAGATCTTCAATCAGAATGATTTCTATCAGAATGACATAAAAAAAAAGTCTCCCCGTAAATCTAGCTGTAGCTCCTTGGCACAAAGATGCCACACAATATGCCCATCAACCCCCAATGAAGCTCTTCAAGTCACTATTTTGGTACGAAGATGCCAGAAGATGGTGACAAAACACAACCTTTGTTTTGTTGAAGCGCCTCAACTCACTTCAACATAGGGCCTTCAAATCAAGATGCCAGATGTTTTTTGATTAATGGCATTTCAAATCATTTTAATGGGGGAAAACGGATTTGCTCAAACAAGGAAATGGAACTACAAGCTTGGTGACAGAACACATTAAACTCTCAAATCGAGACACGATGGACTACGGGATTTGACATAATTCGGTAGTGTTCAAATTGTTGCCACCTCCACTTTTATTTTAATAGTCACCCATGTGAAAAATTACATTAGCCACTTAAGACAACCTACGGTGAACAGTGTATAATCTTCTCGCATTTATCTTCTCACAGACAGATCCGTTCGCTGATCCATGCTGAGACGGTTCACATAACAAAACAAATGTAACTGGAGAGAGATTTTCTACAAAAATTTGGTACGTCAAGTGAGAAGTTTGTTAAGAGGGTCATTCGTAACTGGAGGTGATATGAAAAAAAAGCCTCCAAATATTGACAGTGTTGCCACATTTAGCCTTGCAATTTTGTCAAAAGCTCCCAAAACTTATGAAAATCTATTTAATGAAGGCCATTGATCCACGGAAAGTAAAACGCATTCACTCACATGCTGTATGTGTCATTCAGACATTCAATAGGTGTTACAATACCTGAAGTGGGTCTTTAAATAACTTCATTGGTCCGAATTGCACCTCTGCTAATGTGGTCTGAAAGAACAAGAAAAACAGGATCATCAGACACAAATCATTCTAACAGTAACATTCATCTAGCCTTATAGTCCAACATGGCCTTTTGTTTATGTATTGACCTACAGTACATACATATGCTGTAAATTGGGAATTTCTCCAATGTGAGACAAATAAAGGTTTTCCCATCTTATCTTATCTTATAAATATATTCATATACTGTGCATATAAAACTATGGGGGGAAAAAAAAAAACGACACCACCCTTGTTTCTTCCATTTCCTGATCATTTTAAATGCCTAGTACTACTAAAAGGTACAAAATGATACTTTTAATCCAACATGCAGTGTGCTATGAATAAATAAAAGATTTCTCACTCAGCCTTTGTTCGCAAGAGATTGTTGAAAGATACAGTAATGCAAAGATAACCAGAATATAGAATCATTACCTGTTGAGCTGAAAAATGTTGGAAAAAAACAAAACAAAACTCATCACAGTATCTGGAAAAAGAATGGCGGAAATAAAATTTCAACAACAGAATAGATACTCAGTTGATAGATATAGAAAATGTGAAAACTTCACATTTGTGAGATTTCACTCAATACACTTAACACTATGAAAAGACAATTTTTGTCCGCACCAAATTTCACTTCCTTTCTACGAAATGGAACCCAGCTCAGGGGTTAGTAACCATAGCAAGCAAGCCCCTCGTGGATGGCCATCCCACTAGAATTCCTCTTCTCCGTAAACAATCTACACATGTGGAGCAGAATAGAGGGAGGAATTTCAGAGCATGCCGGGCAGCCGTAAATCAGTTCTTGCTGAACTGTAAGCCTTTTGCCGACTCAATGAGACAACAAAGGGGGAACAAAGCCGATTAGGCCTTGGTGTAGCACCTCTGACGTCATTCTGACACTGGGCCGTTTGTTGGCGTCCAAGTAGTAGCAGTAGTATGACGCTGTGTGATTAAAGTGATGCCCTGTGATCATCTGATCCCTGGCAGACACGAGGACACTGACCGCATGATCAAATCATGAACAGGAACAATGTGTGTGTGTCTCTCTGTACTGTTTTCTTGTTTTTGAGTTAAAATTGGGTCACCGTGGTCATGAAAGACCAACACTACAAGGCGACAGATATCAGAAAATTCAAAGTGTACCCTTTGGAAAATTTATTTTCATTGCTTTTATTTTATTTACTGAACATGCCTGAAACTTTATTTTTTATGCCTTTACTTGTTATTTTATTTAGATTGATATCGCCAGTAAAATAGGTAGGCGACTGTGACTCTTCTGCTTACATTTGAAAATGTTATACAGCAGCACTATAGGCAGGATGCGGTTATCATTTGATAAAAAGGTCTGTTAAATGTCACTTGAAAATAAAGTATGACAAGATAAGCAGTCGTAGTGCATCTTGTGTATATGTATACAGTATATACATATGTACAAAAACAGACTAACGAAAATACCATTGATGTTGTGGTGTCACAACACTAAGCAAAAAATAAAAATAAAAAATAATAATAAGAAGAAGAAATTTGGAGTACAGTGAACCCCCACATACTTATGGTTCATCACCCGCGGATTCACCTATTTGCAATTAAAAAAAAAAAAAAATCTCTCACACACACACACACACACACACACACACACACACACACACACACACACACACATTTGTGAATAGAATATTTTGGGCAGGGCAAATCCAATTTTTCATGAAAAGACTTATTAGCACAATATCCCCGTTTATTCGAGGATTATTTAGGTTTTTAAAAAAAAATCCCCCTTATGCAAATCAATGGGCTTTTTTGCATTGCACTTATTCGCCGGTTGGCCCATTCCCCATCCTCCACAAATAGCGGGAGTCCATTGGATATGCAATTTTGCGATTGGCGAACAAATGCTGGATCATACTGACAAATGCCAATACTTTGTTCCCTTATTTTACAAGAAGCAGGAGAAAACGACAGTTCTACAGCACTGCAAACTACAATTTCAATAATCATGCAATAATAAAAAACCTTTTGCAATGCAATCTAAAATGAGCATTTTTTAATGAATTTCTGCAGTATGATATGAGACATAATAAAAAGTGGAAAGGAGATTACAGACATTTTGATTCACCAATCTTGTGTAATTTATAATTAGCATTTAATTTATAATATTAAAAACTACAAAATATGTAGAACATTAGTTTATTAAACTCCACCAAAGCATTTATTAACTACGGCATGAATTTACAAAATGTATTATATCAATCCAACAAATGTCACTTCATGTCGCCAACTATTTGCTCACACATTTCAAACCTCCTAATCCCTTGTGCAGCCAAGACCACTTTACGCTGTTCATTGTGCTTGCTTATAGGGGTCAGAATAGAGGCTGTACTTTCCCTGTTGTCACATCGGATTTCGATGATGTTGAACATGTGTGTCAGAACAAATAACTCGGCCAGCTTTATGAACTATGATTCACAGCAGTCATTCATTTTTCCTGGAGAAACAGAACATTTTCTCCTGTACATGCGACCACTGGTTATGTCCCGGATGGAAGACTGAATCACTCTCACTCTCTCGCTCACTTTGACTCCCTCTCTCAGTCTCACTCTCTCCAAATCAATTTTTTTCTCCCTGATGCCGATTGTTCAGGAATTAGCTGTGGCTCAGGCCTTGACGTAAGGAGTTTGGCCACAGGGCCTCCAACTAGCTGAGGCCTAGCAGAGTGCAAGTGCTCTCTCTCCATCCAATGAGAGCTCTCTCTAACACACACAGACATGCCCATTACAATTGCAGCTGCTGTGTGCCTCCACAAATCCCCCCTGACACACAGACATTGCACACGAATGCAGTGTACACAAATGCCGTGTGTACTGCAGCACTGTGCAATGAATCAGCCAAACATTTGCATCCCGTAAACGTCACACTGGCACTGAAGCAAAGACAAAAAAGGCACAGGAAGTGAGCGAGCAAGTGAGCGGCAGGCGGTCCAAACATGGCGAGTAGTGCCCCTGTACAAGCAATGGAGCATGTGACATCTGCTAGTGCACGGCCCAGAAATAATTGTATAATAAAAGATATACGGTAAATATTAAAAGTCTATGAAGTTCTTACGCAGTCACTTTGTAAAGCGTATTCACAACTTCTGACTAAGACCAGATGGCTAAAGTACTCACACTCTGACCTTAAGTCAAAATAATTTAATTGGATGGAGGCGGAAAAAATACAATGGTTAAAAGCAGGAGTACTGTGTATTTTAATCAGAAAAAAATAAATCAAGCAAGTCAAGTCGACTCGCCACCAAGTTTCAATTTCAAAGTCAAGTCATTTCTTGGTTCAAGCAAGTCATAAATCAAATCATATAATCTTGCTCAGTCACAACATATGTTGGAGTGATTAAAAAAAAAAAACTATCTCTAAAAATGAAATTTAAAAAACAACAAAATGAATGCCTACACTTAAATTATTTGGAATGCATGATATTTTTTCATACTAACATTTATGTGAGTTGCAAACCGTTTCGTGATATATACTGAAATATTCTGAAACGTTCCCTTGAAGTCCCGCAGGTCATGGGAATTCTGCGGGAGTCTCAGAGGATGGGAGTCAACTTTACCTTTAATCACGGGATTGGGTTGTTAGGTTGGCGGGAATGAAACAAAGCACAATTTTTTTTCTTGCTTTCTTTCCTAAAAAAGCAAACTGCGTTAAAATGTAGATTTGAAACTATAAACAAGATGACTTGTCAAGTCATGTCGTTCAAGTGTAAGTCAAGTCACTTAGACACCTAGTCTCAAATCAATTCACGTCAAGTTACAAGTTCTAAAAAGTGACTCAAGTCCCCCATTTTGGTTGCTGCACCATTTGTGTTCAATCCATTGCTTAAAAGGGCTAGAGTACTGCAACAGTGATGAGATTTTGCGTTAGCATTCAGCTGGTGGACTAAAAGGCTAAGCTATGTGCTTGTTTTAAATACACATGGTGTAACTGTCTTTGTTCTGTCTTTAGTTTGACAGTCAACTTCAACTGAGAGAGGCAGTAAACAATTTGAAGAATCGTTCATTATCTGCCAAGTGCTGCTTATTGTGAAGTGAATTCACTGCCACCATACAGTGGTCGGATCTCAAGTATGCGCTCACAAGTCAAAGCAAAAAATTGACCGAGCAACGGCTCTTATCTTGAAAACTGAGTAAGTCAAGTCACTCAAATCTCAAGGCACCATTTGTATATTCAAAAACCCGTTTTGATAACATGTAACAACAACAAAAAACTGTGCTCAAACAAAATAGTTCCCACATTTATAATGCATGTAGTGCTAGAACTGAGAAGAAGAAGAAACAAATCATATACGGTACGTGTATGTCACAGTACACTACCATTGGTCCAAATGAGGTTAAAAAAAATTCCATCCTTTCATTTTCTGTCGCAATTGTCCTCATTAGGCTTGCATGTGAGCTTTTGCCTGGGTGAGAGGTGGGTACACACTGGACTGTTCATCGATAGACAAACAACTGTTCACACACACACACACACACACACACACACACACACACACACACACATTAGGCCTGACAAACCAAACAATATTTTAGAGATTTTTTTTGTGTGATTTTCAATGAATGGCCCCTACAAATATTTAACAAAGCATTCTCTGAAAATGTTTCACTTAGATCTACGAACATTGGAAAGCAGATGTAACGTCCCAAGACCTACAATAAATTTCATTCAGTCTCTCTCTCTCAGGAAATTTGTCATTGCGCCATTTACTTTGGAAATTGTTGCCATTTTTGGCTTTTCTTTTTCAAGAGCATATTTTAACCAACGTCGCCGACAGAAATTGTCTGATTTTCTTCAAACTTCGGGTGTTTCATCTCAAGACTTTTAAGGTGAAATATTACTGGAAGCTTTTCACTTTAATTGAATATACCAGTGATGGAAATCCATCCATTTCTTTGAGCATTGAAACCATCCTCTCATGTCACAAGAAACACTTACAAGTCGTAACACATCAAACCGAACAC